TATATATATATATATATATATGAATTCAGAAAATGGTAAGTTAGATGTAGGAACTGGAATATGAAAGGCTTCCAGGTGGGAAGTAACCTTTAGATAAAGACTGAATATTAGAAGGCTAATAGAATCAGGACAGATATGAGGTAAGACGGCAGGTTATTCAAGCAACACAGAATAAAATTAACAATATCAAGAATAAGGTGGGCCGGGGATTTAGCTCAGCGGTTCGATGGCCTGCCTCGCAAGTGCAAGGACCTGAGTTCGATCCCTGGTACCACAAAAAAAAAAAAAAAAAGAATAAGGTGACACATTTGAGGAAGGGAAATCTCTGAAAAATAATAACTCTCACCCATAAGGAATAACCTAACATCTTTTTATGGAGCCATGTCCGTATTTTGCAGTTTCTTGTGTCAAGGCACTAAGCACAAATTTCCATTTACTGGGTGCACACCGGATGACTAAGCACCTATTGCACTGTCATTTTCAGAATAAAATATTTTATGCACTATTAAGTTAGACTACAACCATAATATATTGTTGAGTTGCAAAACAACTGTAGCTATATATAGATGTGTGTGTGTGTGTGTGTGTGTGTGCATGTGTGTGTATGGTTAATCTTGCTTATCAACTTGATTGGATTGAGAAATGCCTAGGAAATTAGTAAAGCAACTTCTGGGCTATCTGTAGGTGTTTCCACAGAGGATTCAATCATTAAATTTCTTTTCCCTTTGCTTCTTGGCTATCATGAAGTAAGCAGCTTTCCTCAGCAGACCACTGACTGTATTCCCTGAAACTGTGAGCCAAATTAAACCTCTCCTGCTTCAATTTGTTGATATCAAGTATTGTGTCCAGCAACAGGAAAGCTAATACAGAGTGGACTCTGGTAAAACAGAATTCATAGGCTGCCTATAAAGACTATAAAAATTTTAAAAAATATACAGGGTTCCACTGCCTGCCTTGAAAGTGAAAGGTCCTCAGTTCGATCCCCAGTACCAAATAAATAAATTAAATATATAGGGGAGGAAACTAGTCTTTCTATTTCAGGAAAAAAATGAAATGACTTGAAAAATACATGGTGCTTTTTAGTATTTCACTCACAACCCCACCTTCCAGAAGTAATCCCTAATACTGCTACATATCCTTTTAATGTCTGAAAGGAAACACCATGGAAAGCAGTGATTTTTCCCCCAATACTGAGGATTGAAACTCAGGCCTTGCACATGCTACCACTGAGCTATAATTTCAATCCTTTTAACATTTTATTTTGAGATAAGATCACACTAAGCTGGCCTCAAACCTGTGATTCTCTTGCCTCATTCTTCCAATTATCTGGAACTGAAGATATTCATCATCATACTGGACAGGAGATGGATTTTGAAGAGGCAGCTTAGATCTTAGGGCTGTAAGACCAACACAAGCAGAGTAGAATTACAGAGCTGCACTTTATTTTTCATGCTAATGCATTGTTTGGGTATTTGTAAGTTAAGAGCTATATTGGGTTCTTAATCCAAAAGTCTAAAGAAAATAAAAGAGAGTAGGGAAGCAAAGAAGCAGCTCACATTCTTACAGAATTTTCAGATGTATTTCAGGTTTCTTTTGGGGTGCTTCAAATAGTCACTAACTGCTCTAGCAATGGCATGGCCTCACAATGATATATTATTCCATGTTAACATAACACAGCATAATAGGAAAATAAGATAAATAAAAGGAATGGTAGAATAGGATTTTATGGGAGATATCTAAATTTTAATAATGATCCTGCTACTTACTAGTGTTTGTGATCTTTGATTAAAGTCCTCAACTTCACTTTCCTTACCTAGTTTACCTACATAAAAATACCAGCTGCTTTCCAGGGTTGCTGGGAGAATTAAATGAGATATGATATAAAAGTACCAAACAATGTCTGGCATATTATAGTCATTCAACAAACAATATTTTCCTTTCCCTTTCGTAAATTCAATATTATTTGGTATTTATTAAAAAAATCTCAGACACTATAGTTACATTTATTTTAGAGAAATCATCCAATTCATAAATAAAGAGTTGCCCAAAAAGTGCTCACAACACTCAATATCAAGCACAGAAATATACAACATGGATCCAGGATATCAAAGTTAAAAGCAGACAACTTTGGCCCTGAAGAACAGTGAAACAATAAATTGCCATTGGTTAAAAGAAAGAAAAGGCCAATAAACTCAATAAAAAAAAAAAAAGAAAGAAAAGGCAGCTGGGCACAGTGGTGCATTCCTATAATTCCAGCACTGTGGGAAGCCAAGGCAGGAGGAGCTTGAGTTCAAGTCCCACCTGGGCAATTTAGTGAAACTCTGCCTGAGAATAACAAATAAATAAAGGGCTGGGAATGCAGCTCAAAGCAAATATACCTCTCTACCCCCATCAAAAGAAAAAGAAAGTATAAAAAAAGTTGTTTATGTACAAAGTAATCAGTTTGTCTAATATACTTTATTAATGTAAAGGTATTAGACAGAAATACACAAGTATTAACAGAGATTACTTCTGGTAAAAAGATTGTGAGTGATATGCTAAAAACAAATGCGGCATATTCTCCAAGTCATTTCATTTTCTTGTGGCACAGAAAGACAAATTTCTTTGCTTGTATATCCTCTCCTTTATAGTTTCCATCTCCTTTGGCCATGTAACTGTGTTTACACAATGGAATGTGGATGAGAGTAATATATATCGGTTCTAGACCTAGTAATATGAGCAGTATTCTACACTTTCCTTTCCCATTTAAGTTGTAATATCATGGTGACCTGGAGACCACAAAATGGGGAAGCCATGAAAAAAAGTATCCTGGGTCCCTGATGCTTGAATGAGAGGCAGAATCTTGGTCTACATTTCTATAAGAGAAGAAATATCAATCATTTTATGGTTCTTTTGCTCAATTCAGATGGAAATTCTGAATCGGCAAAGTACAGTTCTGCTAGCAGTCCTGATGTCAGCAGATGACATCAGGTAATACAGGAGGCCAAGAGTTGACACAGCCAGATGCTGGTCATTGCCTCTGCTGGCTGGCGGCTTTCTGATGCTGGCTTGTGCTATTTGTACTGGGTGCTGGTCTGTCTCTGTCTCTGCCAGCTGCCACTCCTGAGGTCAACTTGTATCGGACATGGCAGGTCAATTTTGCCAGTGTTAGTCCCTGCCACTGTTGGTTGTGGCCTTTCAGTGCCTGCCAGGTGCCAGTCTCTGCTGCTGGTCTTCATTAACTGCTAACCTGTACAGCTTAGTCTATCCATACTACTCAGCATAAAAATCTCAAGTAGATTCATAGGACTTTTTTTTTTGGTACCAGATATAGAACTCGGGTCCTTGCACTTGCAAAGCAGGCGGCGGAAACACTGAGTTAAATCCCCGCCCCAGGACTTTTGAAACCAATGTTATTTGAGAAATAAATCATGAGCAGGTTTACAGAAATAGCAAAGTGAATATTTTAGCAGGGCCATGGCTGCAGCATAGAGGGGTCAGTATACAAGATGTAAAACTAAAGCCCAAGAAGTGGCTGGGGAATGTTGCTTCTAAGCAGCTTGCAGAAATGTTTCAGTGAGGGGCAGGGCTGAAACCTTGTTATGAATGCTGGATATGCAAATAATGGAGCCATATCCCTTCCTTCATGATCTTAGCCACACCAGGGTGCCATTCCTTTTTTTCAAAAAGGCAACAGTCTCCTCTGAAGGCACCTCAGTCAGGAAGGGACACCACGCTGCCTGTCTGACTGCACTCATATTGAAGTGAAGAATGGTGGTTTGATAGCCAAGGAGGACACTGCTAAATAACCCAAGAAGACACTGAAGCAAACTGTCTCAGCCCAATGGGCTGTTAAGAGTTAAGAGAAGTGGGGAGATGGACAGTTGCTGGCCAAGTCACACCCTGCCCCTCCAGCCTGTACAGGAAAAAATGAGTCACAAAAATTCACAAAAGTGTTTACAGAAATTTACACATAAAAATTTAAAAATAGAAAACAAATGTAACTCATGCAGAAATGTTTAGTAAACTTATCCATGTGATAGAATATTAGACAACTATTAAAATGAAGAATTTATTGATTTGTGATTAAAGACATCACATATGAAAAAAACAAGAGTACAAGTTGTTTGAATATGGAAAAAGCAAATTTAAGCAATCTCTGCATGATTAATACTCATTTATATTTTACACTATTTTACAATTTTTCTAAAAGGAGATCATAATGTGATCATATGAAGTAAAAAGTATTTATAAAAAAAGTATCAGCTGTGAGAGAAAGGCTCACAGCATACTGACCATACTACTGATGCTACAGGGGTCCAGGCAGGGATAGGTAAGGACAGTCTGCTTACCTTCCCCACGTAGGAGTAAAGAGTCTAACAGTTGTGAAGGAAGACGTAATAGTTGTAATGCCCAAGAAGGAGATGGGACACTGAAATGGAGCTGCTCCCTTAGAGAAATCTCTCCCTGGTCAGATACCTTCATCATCCTCAGAATAGCATTGGGCCCAAGAAGAATTCTGAATCACAAGGAAACAGAAATTTCAACTGAAAGGAGTAAAGAAGCCAGTGCTAAAAGTTTGAAAAATCAACAAAAGGATACACTGGGGGATTTAGGGAGTGATCACAATGTTCTATTTCTTGATAGTTTCCATGTTTTATGTCTTAAAATGTACGTATATGTTTTATACATTAGCTTGTATGCTATATTTAATTTTAAAATTTTAAAAATCTCAGAGCAGACTCTTTCTAGATGGGATAGAAGGCAAGGTAGGAAGGGACAATTCTCAATGCAAGCCTGAATGCGCCCCTGAGAAACAATATCTGTGCATTGTTTTGTAGTTTGCAAAGTGCTTCTACATTTAAGGCTCAGGCCATTCAAATGAGCCAGAACAGAATCTTTAAACTCATATCATATTCTAGATACCCCTCCACTATACTACATTCAACACAAAATACATGGTGGGCTTAAAAAATGAAAGATATTAAGGGGCAATTGTTCAGTCCTTCTTTAATGTCTTGTTTAACTGAAAGGAATTAAGTTTTTGCCTGCTCACTTCACCTGGCCACCTTCCATCTGAAGAACTTTAACTTTCAGAAATATATTTGTTAAGTGTTCATGATGCAGAATAAAAATCATCAGAATAGGAAGACATGATTAAGCCCAACAGCTTAGCCAAAAGAGAAAAGAATGAAGAGGAGAAATTATCAGGCAACATTAAGAAATAAGTCCAGAATGCCATAGAAGTGGTTCAAAGGAGAAAGAGGACCATGAAAAATATTGTTCTAGTCCTTGAATTTTATTTCTTTGACCAAGTAATGATGTGGTTCCAAGTTTTCTAGGGGCAACAAATTAATCAGTGCCCACTATTAGAAGCCTCAAGAAAATGTAAACAGAATTAGTCTTGTTTTCTGCTCTAAAGGGATTCACATGTATGTGTATTTGTGAGGAAAAACAGATATAAAATAATGAAGGCTCTACACACATGTAATCTTCAAGTGCAGAAATCAGTTACTAGGAAAGGTCTCATAAAGAAAAGTACACTAAAGGTAGGTCTACAAAGATGAATAAGAGTTTGCAAATCAAAAAGGGTAGATATAATGTGTTCTAGAAAACCCAAGTAGTACAGAGACATCAAGTTTTTAAATATGCCAACAAGTTTATTGCAGCTGAATCTGGGACAAAGAGAGATAAGGAATGGACAGGAGAGTAATCAGAGGTGAGGTAGGTGTGTCCAGGTGGACTTGGGTACAAACAAAATAAAGGTCTGAATCTTGTTGTTTATAGACAATAATGAACACAATGGTTCTGTATATTTTAATTTTAACACAGTGGCACTGAAAATACAGAATTGGAAAGAGATAGAAATGAGATTGAGATGCTGGAAGGAAAATTGGAAGCCTATTATGGATAAACAACAATAGATGAAGTAGTTTTGGATCCAGGTAGTTATGGGTTTAAAACCTGCTTTGTCACTTACAAATCATTTGGCAGCGAGAAAATAATCTCTCTAAATTTTTTTCCACTTCTGTGAAATGAAAATAGTAATATTTACTTTTCTATTATGAAAATTAAATAAGATATTGTAAGTGTTTATCTTATTTTTGCATGACAGTCTACTTTTAAATTATCAAAACACCAAATAACAATATCAAGTTCTTGAAATCTATCACTTAATTATCATAATTAAGAAAAATTAAAAGCAGCTCAGACAACTACACTAGTATTTATTGCTTAACTCTTACTAAGAATGGGCAATTTCCAAAGGTGCTGATACTTTGTACAAGTTATAAACAACTATTTGCCACTTTTTCATTGATAATCTCCTGGCCTTCAAAAAAGCATACAGGCAAAATTATTTAATCCTTTTTTTCTTCAAAGAATTTTTTCCACTAGGTCTAAGAACGAAAAAAACAGC